CTCAACCCCCGCAAGCACAACTAAGTGAGTACACAGTTAGGGTTCAGCATGAACTCCTTGACACAACTGCACCTCAAGTGTCGGGACAGCCAAGGAACACACCAGGTAATAATCACAACCAAGAAACAACACAGGTTTAGGGAATTAAAAGTCACATCTAAGTATTCTAAATATTGATTGTGAGCGATCAAATTTCTACAGAAGTACAGGTGGACTGCATCTTCCGGAACTACCAGAAGAGCCTTAATATAGTCGTCTACAAGGGTCGAATCTTGACAACGGAGACTCGAACTGGACTAACTGGAAGGGTTTTATTGACAACTACATTTGGTCCCATGAGGAGACCTGAGGCCAGATTCACGAAGCAGTTACGCAAGCACTTACGAACCTGTACATCTTTTCTCAATCTTTGGCGGCTTTGTTTACAATTATTAAACAGTTAATGAGCTCCGAAGCACCAGGAGGCTGTTTATAACAATAACAACAGTTGATTGGCAAGTTTTCATGCTTGTAAACTGTTTAATAAATGTAACCAAAGCCGTCAAAGATTGAAGAAAGATACACAGGTTCGTAAGTGCTTGCGTAACTGCTTTGTGAATCTGGCCCCTGGTCGGCCTCCCCAGCGTAGGTCGAGTCTCCGGGCAGCGCTGTGTACAGCACATAGTGAAGGGGGACGAGCACTAATGGGGTATTACTGGCCGGCACGTGTGTTGCATAGCTGTAGCTGCCGCAGGTGTGGTCGTTGGTCAGGGGCTAGATTCACGAAGCAGTTACGCAAGCACTTACGAACGTGTACATCTTTCCTCAATCTTTGACGGCTTTTGTTACATTTATTAAACAGTTTACAAGCGTGAAAACTTGCCAATCAACTGTTGTTATTGTTATAAACAGCCTCCTGGTGCTTCGGAGCTCATTAACTGTTTAATAATTGTAAACAAAGCCGCCAAAGATTGAGAAATGATGTATAGGTTCGTAAGTGCTTGCGTAACTGCTTCATGAATCTGGCTCCTGAACTGTGCTTGTGGCAGCGTGGGTCTGACGATTTATGCGCTTTCCCGAGTGTGCGCATGCGCGTAGGAGAGTAAGTGGGTCAGCATGGCTTGTCACACCGCATGTAGCAAGCTGGAACACCGCATGTACCAAGCTGGAACATCGCATGTACCAAGCTAGAACACCGCGTGTAGCAAGCTGGAACACCGCGTGTAGCAAGCTGGAACACCGCGTGTAGCAAGCTGGAACACCGCGTGTAGCAAGCTGGAACACCGCATGTGGCAAGCTGGAACACCGCATGTAGCAAGCTGGAACACCGCATGTAGCAAGCTGGAACACCGCATGTAGCAAGCTGGAACACCGCATGTAGCAAGCTGGAACACCGCATGTGGCAAGCTGGAACACCGCATGTGGCAAGCTGGAACACCGCGTGTGTCAAGCTGGAACACCGCATGTGGCAAGCTGGAACACCGCATGTAGCAAGCTGGAACACCGCATGTGGCAAGCTGGAACACCGCATGTGGCAAGCTGGAACACCGCATGTAGCAAGCTGGAACACCGCATGTGGCAAGCTGGAACACCGCATGTAGCAAGCTGGAACACCGCATGTGGCAAGCTGGAACACCGCATGTAGCAAGCTGGAACACCGCATGTGGCAAGCTGGAACACCGCATGTAGCAAGCTGGAACACCGCATGTAGCAAGCTGGAACACCGCATGTGGCAAGCTGGAACACCGCATGTGGCAAGCTGGAACACCGCATGTAGCAAGCTGGAACACCGCATGTGGCAAGCTGGAACACCGCATGTAGCAAGCTGGAACACCGCATGTGGCAAGCTGGAACACCGCATGTAGCAAGGTGGAACACCGCATGTAGCAAGCTGGAACACCGCATGTAGCAAGCTGGAACACCGCATGTAGCAAGCTGGAACACCGCATGTAGCAAGCTGGAACACCGCATGTGGCAAGCTGGAACACCGCATGTGGCAAGCTGGAACACCGCGTGTGTCAAGCTGGAACACCGCATGTGGCAAGCTGGAACACCGCATGTAGCAAGCTGGAACACCGCATGTGGCAAGCTGGAACACCGCATGTAGCAAGCTGGAACACCGCATGTAGCAAGCTGGAACACCGCATGTGGCAAGCTGGAACACCGCATGTAGCAAGCTGGAACACCGCATGTGGCAAGCTGGAACACCGCATGTAGCAAGCTGGAACACCGCATGTGGCAAGCTGGAACACCGCATGTAGCAAGCTGGAACACCGCATGTAGCAAGCTGGAACACCGCATGTGGCAAGCTGGAACACCGCATGTGGCAAGCTGGAACACCGCATGTAGCAAGCTGGAACACCGCATGTGGCAAGCTGGAACACCGCATGTAGCAAGCTGGAACACCGCATGTGGCAAGCTGGAACACCGCATGTAGCAAGGTGGAACACCGCATGTAGCAAGCTGGAACACCGCATGTAGCAAGCTGGAACACCGCATGTAGCAAGCTGGAACACCGCATGTAGCAAGCTGGAACACCGCATGTGGCAAGCTGGAACACCGCATGTGGCAAGCTGGAACACCGCATGTGGCAAGCTGGAACACCGCATGTGGCAAGCTGGAACACCGCATGTGGCAAGCTGGAACACCGCATGTGGCAAGCTGGAACACCGCATGTGGCAAGCTGGAACACCGCATGTATCAAGCTGGAACACCGCATGTAGCAAGCTGGAACACCGCATGTGGCAAGCTGGAACACCGCATGTATCAAGCTGGAACACCGCATGTAGCAAGCTGGAACACCGCATGTGTCAAGCTGGAACACCGCATGTGGCAAGCTGGAACACCGCATGTGGCAAGCTGGAACACCGCATGTGGCAAGCTGGAACACCGCATGTAGCAAGCTGGAACACCGCATGTAGCAAGCTGGAACACCGCATGTGGCAAGCTGGAACACCGCATGTAGCAAGCTGGAACACCGCATGTGGCAAGCTGGAAAACCACACACACACACAGTAGACTACCACACTTCGTTCGACTCCCAACATGTCCCAGCGTATATGGAAGCAACAGCAACGAACTTCGTACTCAGTAAAGCTCAAAAATGAAGACAAATAAGCGAATCCAAAAGCAGAAAGTGTGATGTGTGATTGCAAAGATACCTCAGGAGACAGTACTTGCAAGATTAGAGTTACAAAGGTGTCAAGGCCGATGTCTAAGATGTTAGAATGTCCCGCCAGATGGCTCTGATGAATGAGAGGCCATAACACACACATTAGCGGTGAGGACACCCGCCAGGGGTTGGTTGTTGTTGAAGATTTAGCTACTCAGAACGAAAGTTCCAAGTCGCACGGGCATCCACAGTGAAAAGCAACATAAGAAATATTGAGAAAATTCGTGTTAGAATTATTAATCTTACCTTTTCCGTCATATTTAACAACATATGTTTACAAGAAAGACTGCTACCAAAATATATATATATATATTAAATATATATTATATATATATTAAATATATATATATATATATATATATATATATATATATATATATATATATATATATATATATATATATATATATATATATATATATATATATATATATATATATATATACTGTATCTTTCCTCCACCTTCACTACATATAGTGTAGCGAGTTATTGAGCACTCGACCACAGAAGGTAATTGAAGCAATTTTATACTGACAAATTACAATTTTCACAAGCAAATGCATATTTAAGTCTCTCCTACTTTGGCAAGGCAATATAGTGCTGCTACACGACATAGTGAGCTGTTGATCCCTACCACAGATGGTGATTAAGGTGCTTTTAGGAGGGGAGAAATAGCCTAAGCTACTCTATCTTTTCGAGATGTATTTTTATTGTCTCAATAAACGTACTTTAAGGTGAGGAGAGAAGAGAACTATCAGGGGAAAAGCGCCAAGCCATTACAATTATATAGCACTGGGAAGGGCTCAGGATAAGGATTTGGGATGGGACGGGGGGGGAAGGAATGGTACCCAACCACTTATGGACGGTCGGGGAAGGTGAGGAGAGAGAGAATAGAGAAAGAGAGGACGGACATATAGAACCAATAGAGCAAAGAGGCTAGCCTCTCTGGGCACACACAGCATCGCTCCTGTGCCAGGTAAGTCCACTACGGGCCCACCATAGCCCGTGCTACTTGCCCCGCTCCTGTGCCAGGTAAGTCCACTACGGGCCCACCATAGCCCGTGCTACTTGCCCCGCTCCTGTGCCAGGTAAGTCCACTACGGGCCCACCATAGCCCGTGCTACTTGCCCCGCTCCTGTGCCAGGTAAGTCCACTACGGGCCCACCATAGCCCGTGCTACTTGGAACTTGTTCCGAGTAGCTGAATCTATAACAACAACAACAAGGAGGCTAGATGGGAGGCTAGATGGGATTGAAGGTAACCCCATCGCCCGAGGAAATTCAGACCCCAAATCAAAATAAAATTCTGCAGATGGAAAGAAAAACCCTATACTGGCGTTAAGAGCATTCTCTATATACCATTTGAAGCCTGTATATGTCCCGGGGGTACTTGAATTCTATCCCTTCCGGGACCAAAAGTACATCCCGCTGTATATAATACGTTGTTGTTATAGATTCAGCTACTCGGAACAAGTTCCAAGTAGCACGGGCTATGGTGAGCCCGTAGTGGACTTACCTGTGCCAGGACTTACCTGGCACAGGTGTTTTGAGTTTTTGGTATATAATACATATTGAGTTAGGAAATGTAGATGTTTATCTCTCAGAATGCTTGGTAATGTTTATTGTTTGTGATGTGTTTATATGTATGTATTAACACGATGTACTGGACGGGGTGAGAATAGCTTGAGCTACCTCATCCCTTTGTGTGTATTTTACCTCAATAAACTTATTTCAATTTCAATTTCAATTATTGAGGTAAATTTATCTCCTACCTAACGCTCTTCTCTTCCCATTAACCCCACCGACTCTTCCCCCCCCTCTCCCCCCACCATTATTCCCCCTCCTGGCGACCCTCCATGGACCCCCACATTCCCCTCCCTCACTCCCTCCCCCTTCAGCCAATTTCCAGCGATATCGTAACAAAAACGTTTACTTTACTTCCTGTGCGTGATATCTTGGGGGTGACGGGCGTCGACACTCCTGGGGGCTTACGACCTGTCCCGTGGGGGTGTTGGAGGGGGTGGTGGGGTGGTGGTGGTGGTAGAGGGGGTCGTTTGGTGGTGGTAGAGAGGGTCGTGTGGTGGTAGAGAGGGTCGTGTGGTGGTGGTGGTAGAGGGGGTCGTTTGGTGGTGGTGGTAGAGGTGGTGGTAGACACCTGCTACAAGACACAGGTGAATCAGCAGCAGCAGGAGCTACGACAGCCGGGAGTCAGCAGGAGCTACGACAGCCGGGAGTGAGCAGGAGGAGAGCGCGGGCAACACAGCCGGTGTTGACGCAGGCGGGTGATGTAGAGTGACCACACAGCTGTGTGATGCGCCGCCGCCGCCCTCTCACGGCCAAGGTCGGACACGGCCGCATGGCCTACTTTCCCAACGCCTCGCCATACGCCATCTCACTTTCGATTTATTGTCTCACTTTCGGCCCCAAGTTTACCTCTCTCTCTCTCTCTCCCTGTGTCTCCCCCGTGTGGCTCACTGGCCAGCCAGGTGCCTGCCTGGTCGGGTGCCACCATGGCACTCCCGCCTGGCCTCACCCGGAGCTGCGGGTGACAGGCAGTCTTGAGAGAAGACAGTGACACACTTACACTCAAGAATGTCATGGTGGACGGTATTCAACCGCTGTCAGCTAATTTACACACGCAGGATCAGGTAGCCGTGAGGGGGAAGGGGGGGCAAGAATACGCTGGATGGAAGGAGGGGCAGAGGGAGAAAATATATGTGGGGAGGAGGGGCAAGGTTATGTTGTGGTAGAGGAGGGGCAGTTAGTAGAGAGAGACAGGTGAAGGAGGGCAGGGGGGAGGGGGGGGGAGGGAGGGGGGAGGGAGGGGAGGGGAGAGAGAGAGAGAGAGAGAGAGAGAGAGAGAGAGAGAGAGAGAGAGAGAGAGAGAGAGAGAGAGAGAGAGAGAGAGAGAGAGAGAGAGAGAGAGAGAGAGAGAGAGAGAGAAAGGGGAGGCGAGTGATACAAGTGGAGGGTAGAAAGTGGGGAAGAGGGTGGAGGGTGGAAGGAATGGGGGGGTGGAGGGGGCAAGAGGGCCACGACAGAGGGGGGGGAGGAAAAGGAAGGATGATGGCCTTATTTGAGCCTCATGGGGAGGAAGAGGGTCCCAGGGAGGAGAAAGGGGGCTTGTCTCTCTCGTGGGACGTGTCACCCTCAGAAGTGACACGTCCCACGAGAGAGTTCTCTCGTCTACAAGACGACAGACCAACACGTGTGAAGGAATAGCTTTGTTTCTCATAGACAAGATATTGAGCCCAGCCATCCCACAGTGAGGGAAAACTGAAGAGGTATATTTCCTTTTTATTCAGTTGATGGGAGACATAGCCGTCTTGGCTTGGCAATATAGGACCGGGTCGTGTTGCAGCTCAATTACATGAAACTAAAGCAACCTTGGAAACACAAACCGAAACTGTCTCTATTTTCCGCTTGTTACAACTTATAAAGTTGTTTCATCTTGGCTTAACGTGTTTATGACGCATTAGAACGTTGTTACAACTTGCTAGATTGGTTGTTATAACTGGTTAGGAAGTGTTAAAACTTGTTCGAACGTTGTACCAACGTCGTAGTTTCGGTGTGTGTGTTTGGCGGGAACAACTTTTGCCTAACCGGAGAGGTTCGACGTCAAGCACCCTACCCAACCTATCGCGGCCGGACGCCGGAAAACGTCCACATAAAGACGATTTCAGTTTTAATCAAACTCGGCAATCAATAGACACTTTGGTCGATTCCGTAAAAGATGCGACGCCTCATGTTGTTGTTGTTGTTGTTTTAGATATAGCTACTCAAAACAAAACGTCCATGTAGCACGGGCTATGGTGAGCCCGTAAGACGCCTCATGTGAGGAGCAGTTGTTATAACCAGTCACGTGAATAAACCCCCCCACCACCCCCCCAACCTCCCTCGAATGTAGTTTATGTGAAGTCAAATATCAACAACACCGTAGGACTCGGAAGAAGGGGTGAACAGCACCGTTCAAAGTGAGGAACATCAGCTGAGACTACACACACACACACCAGACTATACACATACACACACACACTCACCAGACTATACACATACACACACACCATACTATACACATACACACACACCAGACTATACACATACACACACACACACCAGACTATACACACACACACACACACCAGACTATACACATACACACACACACACACCAGACTATACACATACACACACTCACACACACCAGAATATACACATACACACACACACACACCAGACTATACACATACACACACTCACACACACCAGACTATACACATACACACACACCAGACTATACACATACACACACACCATACTATACACATACACACACACCAGACTATACAC